ATTTCCACCCAGTCCTCAGATCCACGCGTGGCCACGGACACACAGGATGGCGAGCAGAGGCGCACACCCCCACATCCTGCCAGCAGCCAACTGCGTGCTTGTGGTTACACTGCTCGTGGCTGAGAAAAGGCATCGCCTCGTTTTAGCACAGCATTAAGTTTCAGACATACTAATCTGTCATTGTCTTTTCTTCTTTGATCTCAGAGCAAACCTCAGAGCCATTATGTCTTTGCAAGGAAAGGAACAGAAACACTCTAGGCTACCGAGGTAGATTTTTGCTTTGTTGAGCTTTTCCTCCTCTGTAAGGATGTTGGAAAACAAAGTTAGATATAAAATCCCTTAAATTATTTGAAGAATAAAAAGGCCTCCATGCATGCCAGGCAGGCATTAGGGGAGTGGGGGGAAGAGCCAGCTAAAAAGCTACCGCTGAGCATATTAAAGAATGGCATTATCAAGTGGAACAGACAAGACATGTATATAATGCGTAAGTAGTGTTTGCTGCTTCTCCAAACAACTCATAGATCACTAGGACACGAGCTCCTAGGAAGAGCAAAGAGAAAAGAGAGAGGAACGCGTGATAGCATCAGAAGGGACGTGCCTGGTGCTGAGAAACAGAAAAAGACTTATCAAAGCCTGGGATCTAGATGCGGTTTGGTGATGCTTGCTGACGTCTGGAATAAGTGTGCAGACCCCGAGGACCAGCGTGGCAGGAGGAAGCACCTGTCCTGCAGGGCAGTGGCAGCTCGGCAGAGACCTCCAGAGCTTTTCCCCCAGATCCATGGGACACATCTGGTGGCAGAGAGCTGGGATGAGGCTTTTGCATGCTTGTCTTGGACATAAACAAACAAATCTCAACCAGAGCATTGCTTCGGCAGTTTCTATCCCCCCAAACGTAGTTGTAGGTTCCAGTTCAGGAATGGGGTTGCAACAGCCAGCAAGCAAGGCTGATGAAGCTGCACTTATGTGAAGCGTAAAAGGGATTAAAATTCATTAATACCCTACAAATTAAGTACTAACGATAGCACCGGAGTTTAAATGAGAACCTGAGATATGAATTGCCACATTCGCCCAGGCCTTTTAGCTTTCTCCCACCTAGCAGCATTGTTGTCACTGTTCCAAGCCAGCACTTTTTAATATGCGATGACAGCAGCAGCGCTGACCCCAGACAATGAATAGGGCCTAATAGTTAAGCATTAATCTGCCAAAAGAATGACCTTCAACCACTAAAGAAGAGATGTTTTTAAAAACTCATAAGTGTGAGAAAGGTTCATTTGCTTTCTCATTTAGCATATTAAAAGGGTATTATTGCTACAAACAAGAAATCTAAATGAGCCCCCAGTTGAAGCTTTGGATAACACTTCAGATTAAAGGTGCAGGGCAATGATTAACATGCAGTGTATAAACCATTTATCGTTCATAAACAAGGCAAGACACATTTTCTCTTATCACAAGTGATGGAAGGTCCATAGCGACGCTGCACAGAGACAAAGGAGTAATACAGAGAGGTGGACAGCACGGGGGAAAACGCATGGATCTGGCGGGCTGTGGTGGCCACCAGCCCCAGCAGAACACAGAGCTCAGCAGGAGGTGGTGGATCTCCACACAGCCTCTCCTGTGCAGAAACCCCAGGGAGAGCAGAGCACCCTGAGAGCAGCTCCGAGGTCGGCTGCCTCCCTGCAGGGCTGCAGTATGGCAGACCACTGCTCTACCACCGCCAGGTTGGCTGTTTTTTGCTGAACAGCTTTATTCTATGGTTGGTTATCAGTGACCGAGTGTGCCAACAGCCCATTTTAATTAATTAGACTGAAGGAGGCAGGTTGTAGTATGAGAGTTCTGCAAGGGACACAGTCCAGGTTCCTTGAGAACTTGCAGGAGCATGAGGTGCACCCTGCCAGCACGACTGGGACCAGCCCTGGACACTGGGACAAGCTGGAGCCCTCAGCTGCCACTTCCCCAAATCTTCAGAGATCTCTTGCCAAGGCAAGAGACCTGAAAGCTCTTATTAGACAGGCAGGGGTGCAATGGGCTGCCCCAAGGGAACCTCCTGTCCCACCTGAACAGGTCCAACCCCTAGGCTGCTAGTCACCAGCCCTGGAGCTGGCAGAGAGCAGGGACAAGCAGCTCCACCATTTACTCTGCCATGGCAGGAGCTGCCCTCATCCCAAGGCAGGGATCTGCACCGAGTGGCTCCCCAGGGAGCTGCTCGCAGCCGCTGCAGCTCAGAGCACACCAGAGGCCTGATCCACATATGCTAGCAGCCCTGAAAGGCTGCCTTGCTCCTTCTACCTTTATCGGGGTTTTCTCTTCTCCTTGTGAATTTGCAAAACCCTCTTAGCCAGAAAGCCCGAGTTGTGTGACTTTCATATCTCACCTTCTAAATAGATTTGTCAGCCATGCTGTAGCTATGACAGCTCCCGACTCCTGCTCCCTGGATTTTGGAAAGCATAAAAACAGCTAAGGGCAAAAACTCACAAGTCAACTTAGAGCTGTGAATCCCTCCCCCACGCTATTTTTGTGACAGAGAAGGGAGAAAAGGAGATGGAAAAGGTCTTGCTAATACAACCTAGGAGAGAAACAAGATTGTTATTATTTGTGGGTTTTAGATTAATGTTTTCAGACTTCCTGTGCTTCCTTTAAGTACATCTGATTAAAGGTTACTGCACAGAGAGAGGCAAGGTCCTCTCGGAGATGGCTGTCCCCATCCTGAACGATGCAGACCTGCGCTGCCCTGAAACGCACTGGCTCCCTTCCTTCCTTCCCCATTTGAATGCAAGGATGCTATGGGAAGTGGAGCCTTGGAAAGCTCCTACGACTGAGAAATCCGTCACTTTAATTACCCTCTTACACTGTATTTATCTCAATGAAAGGTCCCTTGCTCCTTTGTCACTGACTGGCAGGGTTAGCAAAAAGAACTGGGGATGATCTATATGTTTATTTATTTCCACAGCCCCACCACAGGAAACAGAGCCTCCCCCGAGCTTTTACCATGGCTCACGAGGTTACAAATCCTGCTCATCCCTGACAGATGGAGGATGCAAGGAGTGAAAGCAAAGCAAAAGGGCTCTCTGGTTCCCACTCTCCAGGATGGTCCAGGTTTCCTGCCTGGCCTTTAGCTCAGCATTCCTGGGTCACAGGCAAGATGCAAAGAGCTGGAGGGAAATCCCTTTTCTTGTATTAAAACTGTGCTCAGCTGAACAGGAAAGATGCAAAATCTTCTCCTTGTTCCTAACCCAGCCCACTAAATGTCTCTGAAGTTATTTTCTTCCCTTCTGTGTTTTTCAGCTGGAAGGAGAGGTATCATTTCCATGTGAATTTGCCATATTTTTGTCACCACTTAGGTGGTGTCCAGTGTGGGTCCCACCACGCAGTGGGGCTCATGAAAAAGGGCAGAAGAGCCCCTGAAACGGCCCTGGGCTGGTCTAGGAGCTCAGCCAGGACAGACTGGGAGGCGATGGATCAGGCACTGGGATGAGTGCTGGCCTCCCTTTGCAGAGGAGCGAGCAAGGAAGAGCTGCGTGCGCAGAAAGCAGCGAGGAGCAGCAGAGGGCAGGGAGGGCAGCGTGGCTCTTTCTCAGTCCCCGGAGTGCTGCTGTCTGTGGCAGCCCCAGCAGCCGAGAAGCACTTTCTGCTGTGACAGGGTTTTTTCTGTGATTGACCCCAATTACAGAAGTCAGACCACATGGGCTGAGTGCGTCACTCACGTCAGCCCGGCAGCTGCTCAGCGCCTGAAAACCCAGCTACCCAAATACATGTGAAATGAAGGGCACTGCCAGCAGCAGGAGCCGGGCAAGTGCTGGCAGGGAGCAGGCTCTGCCTGGCCGTGGGCACCAGCTATGGTGCAGCATCTCTGACAGACCCCAGTGCCCCGACCTGCCCACATCCCTGCCCACCCACATCCACCAGGCTCCGGGACCCATCAAGCAGGGCAGGCAGGGACACCTACTTGTTTGAAGCTTTTCCATTAACTTAACACAGTTCGATTATTTTCACCGTGACATCGCAAAAGCAGAACATCAGAAGTGTAGAAAGGCAATGTTCACGGCAATTAAGGACCCCACAACCCGTCAGACCTGGCTGCCTGCCTCCGAGCACAGCCCTGCTCGCTCCGTGCATTGCAAGGGAGCTCAGAAACCATCACACGAGCCCCGTGGAGCACTGTGCCTGCAGCCCACCTGAGGCTGCTTCGGTGCAGCACACAGCTGGCAGCACGTCTGTGCTCTTTGCAAATGCAGAGTGGTGGAAAAAGTAGAAGTTTTTGTTTTGCTTTCAAATCTTCGGTGCAGCTGAGTCATTTAGGAGCATGGGTTATGCAAGGCATCGGTAGGTGCATTCCCCAGAGGCCTCGCTCATAAACACAGAAGGCTTGTTTGTATGCAAAGAGTCTCTAGACCACCACCAAAAGTCATCCAGAACATGCATCTCCTAACAAACACGTTAAATAAACGCCTGCCCAGACAATATTTATCAACAGTCCTAAGCCAACTGTTCTGCACTGTACCACAATATCGTACCATGCCAAATGCAGTGTACTCACAAGCAAATTAATCTGTTTCTCCTAACATTTAAGTGCAACAACAAATCAGTCTGTGTAGCAAATTGCTTTATAAACATTTGGGGATAAATACACTTTCTCAGCTTCAATCCTAGTGTGTTTCAGAGCAGCAACCTACCCTTTGATGGGCAAAGAGCAAACGATAAATCCTGGAGACTTAAATAAACCTGCACGACCAACTCTTGAAATGCTGTAGAAGCTATCTGCATGCCCAGCTGGAGCATGAGCTCCTGGACATTGGGAAACAGACAAAAATAAATCCAACCAACCAACCAACACTACATTGAACACCTTTTTTGTTTTACTTCTACAGGCCTCAAGCTTCTAAACAATGCCAACAACAGACAGTATTAGGGACTGCATGCACATGGACTGAAGGCACGCTTTAAAGAACCACAAAAATCACATTTCTGCTGTATAAATGGAAAATAAAGACAAAGAGACTCACCGAAATTCACAGAAGTCCCTGGAAGAGCATCATGTTGCACCCAGCTCTGAAAGCAAGCTCTGGTGAGTTGGGTTAGTCCATGACAGGAGGACTTAAGTAACCTCACCTGCCCCCAAGTAAGGCAGCCTCATTGCTCATTTTGTCATCTGCCCCTCGTTACTTAGCTTCAAGCAACTGGGGTCCTGCTGTCTTTCTTGTGGTGCTCATGGAATAACACAACCTAGACACCCTCATCTCCCTTCTTCCTTGTCCCTCTCATTTCTTCCCACTTTGTACTACTTTTCTGTGTCACTCTACTTTATCTGCATTTTCTGTAAAGCAGAAATTATACTCTGCTAAAAGACACTTTTTTATTATAATTTCATTCCGCTGTTATTAATACCTGATTTGATTTCATTTGTTCCATTTTACAGCTTGTCTCCTGCAATTGCCTGGCTTTAGAAACAGTTTTATCTGAGCAGGTGAGGCAGATTATAAATAAATTTGGTATTGCACCTTGTATTTTAAGCAAATTTGAGACTTTCCTGATTAGGTGCCTTGCACGGGAGAACCTTGTTCAGTCAGATAATTGCAACCTCGATTCTTTATCCTCTTCTTTTGTTCTCATCCCCCCTTGGCAAAGCTGCAATCTTGCACGAGAACATTAGCAGACAAAACCCGTTGAAAATAACTCTCCAGAAAAAATCTAATTTACTTTTTAATCTGGTTCGGAAATTTGCCAGCAAAACTTCCACAGACAAGCACAGCCTTTTATTACTACTTATCATACTGGCTGGATTTTCACTCCTGATTTGGATAATGTAGCGGGGACTGTGGAGAGTGTGTGTGTGAAGAGATGAAGGGAGAAATCTTTTGATATATTATTTATTTGATACAATCTTTCCTCGATAAGATCAGTAAGCAGAGGACAAAACTGTGACCTTATCCACTTCAACTGCTTATGTTATGAAACAACAGGCATATATATTTTCATTTCACTTATTTTGTAGGTTCTTTTTTAATTTATTTTCACGTATATATACACACGTTTATGTATGTATATAGTATTCCTGCTGGGGAAAGAACTTATTGCACTTGTTTCCTCATGAAGCCCGTCTGGACAAAGAGGATTTGATTGCATTTGTGATTCAAAGATTGTCTTGTCAGCAGAAGGAACACGTGGCTGTGGCACTCCGTAAGTAGCCGATACTGAAAACATTGCTTGCTGAGGCCATTACAGGGTTCGTTTAACAATACGGCTAATAAGCACCCACCACAAAGGCTGGGAACGTGTTCCATGCATCATCTTTCTGGACAAACCAGAGAGAAGGCAAGCATATGCTTGAATGCACGGCGCCCATAGTTTGCAGTTAAATCATTAGGCTGAAGTTCATAAGATCTGCAGCAATCCTGGCTCTGCCATAACATTTATTTTATAGAAGTAGACAAGTAGCATTAATGCCCTGTGCTCCTACACCTGGTCTGTATGCCAAAGGCATCCTATTTTTCACCCTTTTTCCTTACAGCCTGGTTTAATCAGTCAGCGCCAAGGGGCAGGGTCTGTTTCTCCTCACCCACCCAAGGCTTTGCATGAAGGGCTGTGGGTTCTCGGCTGGCCTCAGGGCCCGGCTGTCACACCACACACCCTGTGCAGCTCAGTCTGGCTTCTTTAATTAGGTGGATTCTCTGGTCAAACCTAGCTCAGATGCTGAAGTTTATGCATAAAAGTTTTTTTTTTTTTTCCCTCTCTTTTGCTTTTCAGAACTATGCCTCCTGTGGGAAGTGTAAATATAGAAAGATGACAACATGTGCATTAATGCTCGTTAGAATGTCATCATTATATTCTGCAAAGTGTCTGCTGAAGGGATCCCTAAAGGACACTTAGAAATGAAGCAGCTGCTCCGGATTTGTTCCAGCTCACATCTCGAAGAAAATGACATTGAGATAAATACAGCATTGTGAGCGTCTTCTGAGCAGAAGGGGAGAAACGAGAGGGGAAGATTTCCTTTTGTAACAGGCCCAAAGCAGGACTGCAGCGTACTCCAGACTTCCTCACCCTCTGCCTTTGTAACATGAATTGGGTGCTGCAGTGTTTGTGGTGGTACCGACGGGCCCACCCTTCTGGATGGTGCAAGGGGGGTGCAGCTTCCCCAGGCAGCTCTCATCCAGACCCTGATGTGTGGAGGTTGGTGGGAGCTCAGGCACCGCAACCAGCCAGTCGCTGCTCTACAGCCAGGAAAGCTGAAGGGAGAGCTGCTTGAGCCCAGCACGTATGGTTGTCTTTACAACAGCTTGAATCCACGTGAGAGAGGCTTCTCCTACAGCCCGTTCTTGTCTGTCACACGTGAATCATGGTGTGCTCCTTGTCTTAAGAAGATGGATAAGGAGAAACCCAGAAAAAATAAAATGGTTTCTGTGAAATACGTCTCTGACTTCATTATCTGTGGTCATAAGCTTTTCTTCTGCTGTCAGAACTAAGGAGACAATGGCGTGAAGCAGAACATTAGTTGCAACAAAACATTGTGCTCTATTTCTTTCCAACCTTTTCAAGGTTTTGAAACTCCAGCCACAAAAGGCTCAAGCTTCACATATACGGAAATGCTGTAAGACAACAGAGCCTTTGGGGATTTCACATTCTTTGGAAAAAAATATGAAAATAAAAATTTAAAAGATAGCATATACGTGACCAAACTCTCATACGTATTTTAAGCCAGATTGTCATCTGGTGTGAACCAGAACAATCTCACTGACTTCACTGGAGTAAGCAGATTTTTACAACAAAACCTTTGAAACTACAATACTTACAGATGAGCCCCAAATCCCCCAGATCATAGGATGGTACCATTTTGTACCCTGCCCTTGTCTGCATGATGCCATGAGAAGGGAATTCAGAGAGCGCTCTGCACGATAATCTCCCCCTCACGCCTGTTTGCATTCACAGAGAAAGCCTTGAAATAAAAATGTACAGTCCCAAGGGCACTTACTGCAGAAAAGAGAAAGGTTAAGAACTGTGATTGACCATGAGAAGATCCAGAGTCTTACATTACCTAGAGACCTTGCTCGCTTTCTCTGTATTAATGCCCAGCAAATAAAGAAAAAAACCATTGTCTTCAATTTCCCCATCTCCTAAGAACCCGTATCGTGTCAAGTATCATATTCACAAAGCAGAGTTTTTCTATTCAAAAATAACAAATAGATCATTTTCTTGGAGCAGATTTATTGAAGCTCACAGAGGGAGAGGCACCCCCTTTCACAGATAACAGAATCGTCTTTTTCACTTTTTCACCCAAGAAAACAGGGAAGACAGGAAAGATCAAGTAACACGAGAAGCATTATCAGTTAACCATTAGGAACCATTTCTTGTTCTGTGTTAGTACTGAAATGATGCTTCAGCATGCCATTAAAAGGGGATGAATACATGCTGCAGAAATGGGAAATAAAGAGACAGGGTCCCCAAGGCAACAGATGATCCTCCTGTCCTTTTTTCTAAAATGAACAACTAATGCTGATCCTGAATTCGTGGTCCTATTCCAATTGGTTGAATCGCCTCCTGTGCCTCCAGATTTGTTTTCTCATCCATAAAAAGAGAATACAGAATTCTTTGCTGCTTCTTCAAAATTGCTATGTGGAGTTTTTGGACGTAGATTAAGCAGCCAATGTGTTTCCTGCCACAGGTGGCTGCATTTCAGTAATAGGTTCATTGTATTTCTATAGGAGTTGCATTTTATTTTCAATTTTTAATTGCAGAACATCAGTGTGAGATTGCCACATGATAGATATATTAAGATTGCAAAGTGCCCAGCAAAGTCCTTCAGCTGAATGACAAACACATGAGTTCATTTCCATTATTATTTACCACTGAAGCCTGGAAATGGCATTCTAAATCCTATAAAACTGTGTTCAGATTTACCACTTTCTCATCTTCAAGATCTTTTGCTGGCAGACCCTATTAGCAATGTGCTGACTTTTGGGACATTTTTTCCTCAAAATAAAATTATCCACAAGTCTCTATCTTGCTAGCACCACCTACTTCAAGATTTAAGTAAATACATTACATACCCTATCTGCATTTGGTTTTATGGGTTCTAGCCCAATTATTATTTTTTTTTTTCTCCTTCTCTGCCAAAAGAAAAAATTGCTTTGAAAATAACCTTCCATATTCTGATGCCATTGGCTGTCAATCTGCTTAGTAACTTGCACATCACTAAGTTGAATATAGTTTGTTTAAGAAGTGTCTCTCACTCAAGAAATGGCCCTTTGGCACTATTCAGACCTGACAGCTCTGTTCCAGCACTGAGGAACTGCGGGGTTTGCAGCCCTGCCCTGGAACAAGCTCTCCCACAAAATGAAACCAGAGGAGCCAGTCCTCAGAGGGAAATGCAGATACTGTGCTCCAGCCCCACGAGCCACAGATGCGGTCACATCCATGGCGTTTGCAGAGGCACAGGGGGAACAGCAAAGGCTGCCAGGAGCAGGAGCAGCAATGGTGCCCAGCAGATGCTGAAAGGGTGCACGTGCTGTGACATCAAGCCAGGTAGCTGCAATGGCTCCAAGTCCCCAGCAGCAGCAGCATGGTGCTGTGTAGGCACGGTGCTGGGGTGGTACTGGGCTTCAGGAGCAAGATCTGGGGCTTGCTGGGACAGGCAAAGAGAAAAGCTTAGCAAGCAGCCTGAGACAGAGCAGAGGAGAGAGCAGAGAGCATTGATTAGTGGCTGTAAGCATAAAGGGTGGAAAGGGCCAAAAGAAGAAAGGAATAAAGAATAAAGGAAGAAGGGGTCTTTGAAGGAAAAAGAGTGGATGCAGATTAGGGAGGAATAAAAAAAAAAAAAAGAGAAAAGAAGAAGAAATCAAAGAGCACCATCATTAATGCATCTTACCCAGGAAGAAACATCCAGCCAAAGGGACTATCTTTTCCTCCCTTTACATCAAGTAAACAATTCCCTTTAATTAGAAAACGTATTTTGGACACATCCCCAGTAGCCTGCCCTTGAAAAGGACTGAGCTCCAGAGGAAATGGAAATGAACAGTGGTGATGCTACAGCAGCAGAGCGGTTACGGGAAATACTGCCACCAAAACACAGCAAGCGGAGAGGCAAAGCTCCTGCCAGGCTCTGGGCTTGCTCTGCTGTAGTGGTATTGCATCAGTCATCGAGACAGGCTGGAAGCACTACAGCTCAGTCTTTCTGGATTACAGACTGCTGTATTCCAATCTGGATTGCAGGTAACCCTGCTCATTTAGAAATGAGCTGCAGTCACAAGAAAAACACTTCATACACATGTTAAATAATTATTTACATGTATGCATACACATATAGACACAGGAACAGATCATCCAGCAAGACTCATCGATAATAACTAACACTGGTGGTGTTTCCTTACATATGAATGGAATCTCACCAGGTTGTGGAGGGACCAGAACCATTCAACCTGATTTCACATCGCTCAAGGTGTGAGGGGGGTAAAAACACCTGCCCTCAGCACGCACTGTGTTAATACTTGTGAGCATAGGACGGACACTGAGAGCAATTCTCCCATGCTGAAATTTGTCTTTGTTACAAGTTGGAAATGAGGTATTTCCAAATTCTTTGTGGAAAAAAGTTACCCTTCCAACAGATGCTTTCCAGCGATCAAAACATTGGAGTTTCCTAGTTGACATACACCATTTAACAAATTTCAAGTGAAAAAATCTATTTCCAAATGAAATATTGCCATGCTGTAATCCAGTACTGTTGAAACTTTTCAATACTGCTGGAACATTTCTTCCTCTTTTATTTCTTGCTTAAAATGAAATGATCAAAAATGGCTTTTTTTCTTTCCTTCTTCTATTTCTTAAACAACATTGTGTTCCTGGAGATCGGGCACCAGAGGAGCCTCTGCCTGCCTCTCCTCCCTCCCTTTTTTCAGCCTCCTCCTGGGAGCCTGACTCGGTCACGTTTCTTGTCACACAGACGGTAAGTACATGAGTGACAGGCACGTCACCGTGTGAGTGACAGGCAGCTCAGCAGTTAACAGCTCAAAGATATAGAGGAATGCAGCGAGTGCCAGACCTGGATCAGACCTGAGGTCCAGCTAATCCAAAACACCGATCCACCAGCAGTCAGTCCCCGCCGCTCCGGAGGCGGACAGGGAAGCCAAGCAAGAGGCACAGAGCTAGCTGCTGTCAGGGCAGGAACGGCTGCGGGAGGTGATGAGGAACCAGGCGGTCAAAATACCTTAAAATGAAGGATGTGACTCAAGGCAAAACTGTGTGACAGCCAGAACACCGCGCGTGTGAGCTGGCTGGCAGGGCACTGCTGATCGGGCTGGGTAACGGAGCAGCACCAGGAAATGAGGAAAGGTTTGGCTAGGGCAGGTGCCCCCAAAGCCCCTGGGTATATGTCTTAGTGTCTTTAGTCCCCTTCCCTTCCAAACCTGAGAGCGCTTCTCATTCAGTGGTCTTTCGGTCATTTCCTGGGTGAAAACCCCTAACTGCTGGAGCAGTCCTCACGCTGTCACCATGATGACAGGAGGCGGCGAGCCTGGCACCCCTCTGTCACTGCACTTGGCCATTCCTCCCCTTTGCCCTCAGCAACACCGGGCAGCTCGGCTGCACAGCAAGGGGTGCAGCTCTGAAAAATTGGGGAATATTGCTACAAAAGGCTCCAGCTGGTAGCACCCCGCTACCACTGGGGTCTCTTGCGAGCGCAGAAGCGCCTGTTTGTCAGCCTGAGAGCTCTGCCAGGCGAAGGCTTTCACGCCGCAGCAGGCAGGCTGGGAGGAGTGAGCCTAATTAGATGTCTCCAGATTGATGATTATACCTCTGCTCAGAGTATGTAGCCAGAGACGGAAGACTTCTGACAGCTGCAAGGAGAAAATCAAAGGTCCTAACCTCTCACAAGCCATTGCTTCCTCCCTCCCAGATTCTGATGTCATTTAGATAAAAACAAAACAGAGCAATTTATATTAAACACAACAGTAATAACAAATTAAAAAGTAGGGTATTTAAAAAGATAACACATTTGCCACTGGCAGTCAAAGGAATTCAGAAGGCAAAAAAAAAACAGGCTGCTTCTCAATTCTCTCTCTCACACACAAGCTCCCTAAAAGCTTGTTAAAATGTCTTGCTAGCAAGGGCAGGACCCTCTGATTTACTGGTCATAGGCATCAAAATCCCCAAATGATAGATATTCCTCTGAACGGATGACATGTACACGATACAGGAATCAAAACTGTGTGTTTTTGATTGGGGGTGAGGGGACAACAATGAAAATTAACTGGCTGTTTACATTGCTTCTGGGCAAACCTCAGTCAGACAAGAGAAGGTTTAGTAGCCAAACATCCCTTGAGTAAAATCTTCCCCTGTTGGAAGGGATCATGCATAGGATGGGCAGCTGGGGGAGAACAAAAGGCTGAGCTGAAAATATATAGTTGCTGCGGTACAGAAACCCAGTCTGGCCATATGCCTGAGGTGCCTGGGGCAGCACCCCAGCTGGCTCCTGATGCCTTTGCTTGGCATCCCCTCCCGGTCGCTTTCTCCCTTCCACCTCTGCAGTCCCACGTTTTACCAAAGCAGTCACACAGAACTGCAGGAGAAGATTTTTCTGCTGATGTGCAATATCTGAGTCCAAGGAATCGCCTACACATGTTTACCCAGTTTGACTTAAAATATGGCTTGGTTAAGATACAAGAAGAATCTGTCCAGACAGCTATTTTGACGGAAACTGCCCTGTTTGGGTTTTGTTTAAGGACTAGGAACTAGTTTAAGCGAAATGAACTGAATAAAACCAGATGAAAGATGTCATCTGACATGGTTTATGTCATATCTACACTGGGTTAAGGGTGCGTACACAGTTACTTAACAGCACAGCTGACAAACAGCGACTTGTTAAGCTGCAGTAACTGGATGATACATCTGAGACTTAAAAGCATAAACAGAGATTCACACCAGCGTTCCTTAAATGAATGTCATTCGCTGTATAGATAAGGCCTCATATTCCATACTCTTTGCCTTTATATACTGCTGACAAATCAGATCTCCCTCCACGGGCAGAGCAGTGCAGCATCTGACTCCTACTTGGTCCTACCATAAACGACCATGCCAGTGAAAGCAGAATCTACCTACATTTTTTCCATCAAAAACAATTATTTTTTTTAAGTGCATGTTTGGCTCAGCACCTACAATCTCACATCTACAGAGCAGAGTTGCTACCTCTCTGAATGGCTGTAATTTCTTTTTAGTTCAATTATTTCTGCACCATACTGTTTGCAACAGCTGAAGCCAACAGTGCTGTTCAGCATATTATGTACTCTATGTCAATGCACCATGAAATATTAAGACTACAATAGGTCTGAAGTCACAGAATCATAATCCTTTAATAGCTTTTTTCATTTCTGCTGCTGGAAGATGGCATAATATTTCTATTTTTAAACAAATGGCATTCGTTCTAACGAAGCTTGGGCTCATCTTGATACCATTGCAGCTGCAAGACCTTTTTTTGCACCATGGTTTTGAAACTCACAGTTCATCGAGGAGGGAGTTGCTGAGAACTTCCAACAGCATTAACCATGTTGCTAAACCTGGATTTATGTGTTTGTTTACAAATGGGTGTGCAGAGGTTTATTTACAGGGATAAGACTCTTTTGTCTTCTTCAAGCCACTAAATTGACCAGACTGAGGAATCCAGAAAACAATTAAACACATCTCTGCGACTGCCATCGTGGCATTCCCCTGCAGTGGCTGGGACCACAGGACCTGTTAGAGCAACCACAGACCTCCAGCACAGCATTGCTATAGGGCTGCACAATGCAGTTTTAACCAGGCTATAAACATATCCTGGTGCTTACTTTTTACTTTTTTTTTTTTTTTTAAATATTATCTAAATTAACACGGTTAAATTTCTACCTCTTGAGCACCTCTCGCTCAGCCTCAGCTGGCACTCAGGCTGCAGGGGAACGTGCCCAATGCTTCCAGAGTGGGCAGCACACAGTGGGGCTTGGATGTGATGGCCGCAGAGCATCGAGTGGCAGAATTGGCCTGGCTCTTGTTCCAGCAGCTCGTCCCTGGAAGCGCTGCCCCGTCCCCAGGAGGGCACGGCAGCCGAGCGGGTGCCATCGGGCTCGCTCCTCGGGCGCAGCACGGCTGGCAGGCTCGCACCTCATCGCCTGGCAACAGGTGCAGAGCAATACATCAGGCAGAGAAAATGTCACTCGGCAGGGATCCTTCATCTCCAGAGACACAGCATTTCTCTCAGCTCCTGCGTCTGGATGTCAGGGAAGGCTGGAGCCAGCTTTGCTGCCTGTGTCACTGATCAGTAGGGTCTGCCACCTTCCAGGACAAGTATGCCATCAACACATAGCCTTGACTGAAAAATATCATGACTTAAAAACACGAACGTGAAATGGATGAAAACAGAGCATTTACGAGGAGGGAGAACATGGTAGTTTCCCGGAGAGAATCTCACCACCAGCAACCCTGGTAAATCCCTTTTTAGGGACACTCATTCAATGTCTTGAGGGATGCACGCTTGCACATTTTTCTTAATAAAAGTGACTTTAAAAAGCTTTCTGGCAAATTTACATATTGCTCCTCTTCTTCTTCCATGGATAACCTCCTGAAATATAATAAAGATTTCACTTTCCAATCTAGATTCATTAAAGGATGCCCAGAAGGGAGAAATAATAAGGTATCACTTTACAGCCCAAATAAAACACAGAAAGATATGGACTATAATGTATATTTCAAGCTTTAGGTTGAGATAATTCATACATCACTCCCAGTTAAGAAACGGAGATGGTGCTGCGTCAGCACATTGCCTGAAAAATATCTTCTTACAATATTTTATGCCTTCTGCTGCTGTATCCCAGTTATCATAGGTCACCGAGTGCTTGAGCACGCCTCCCAGCTGCCCTGCAAGTCATCCCCCTCCCCAGCGGCTGGGCAGAGCACCAGCAGGGAAAAGGGTTTCAGACTGCACCAGGGCTGGAGGACACGCAGACCTTCTCTCTATTCACTGCCAAACCCAAGTTAGAATAATCAAAAGTCAACAGAAGTACCCACATGATATAATAGCTTTTTCCCCACCTTTAAGAGACTTTGGCATCTGAGATGCTTGCAGCTCTGCGCAGCTAATGCCAACCACGTTTTTGAAAGGTATTTTGGAGTCAATTCCCACACGTACACACACATAAGACAAAAAATGGGGAATGAGGAAAGAGCAGAGCCAAGACCGTGCCCAGGAAGCAGACCCTGTCACTGTGTGGAGGGCACAGCTTGGGGCATGGCCACCTGATGCAAATCGGGTCCCCAGGAGGGCTTTGCAGCCTGGGCTGCTCGCCAGCATCGCCCACGAGCCAGCCCACGGCTGGAGCTGTGGCGCAGAGCACGCAGGAACCCAGACAGGCTGGAGAAGCAGCTGCCTCTGCGGAGCGAAGAGCAGGGATGTTTCACCTCCTCCCTCAACCTGGCGCTGCACTGATGAAAAGAGAAAGCAGCCACCCACCAGCACTTTTTTCTGCTGTGTTTTCTTACCGAAGGTGTATTTTTTGCTAAGGCTGCAGAGCTGAGCAGCAGCAGGGCTGCGCAAGTTGCTGAGCGGGACAGGAGAGCGCCTGTGACAGGCTGCAGAGTGCTCATTTATCATAAGAGCGATTTCCCTACTAATAAAGTGACCTTGTGTAAATAGCTCAACTTTTCAAAGCTATCACATCATTAGTATAGGACACACGTTGACAGATAGAGACCACATGGACTGCTGATCCAGGATGAACTACCACAGCCAGAGAGTTATTTTTGACTCGGCTGAATCACTCTATCATTTAAAGACAGAAGGTGTCAGTGAGTAATATGCCTGGCTGAAGGACCATTTTCACCCGTTGATAGTGCAGAGGGAGGCAGCACTGGTCAGGGCTCACTTTGGTTGTCCTCTGCAACAGAGGGGCGCAGCCCCCAGCAGCTCTGCCCAGAGGAGCTGACATCTCCAAATCGCTGTCTCCTTGGCAAACCAAGACCTGCAGCAAGAATTGCATCTGCTGCAGTGCCCCTGTGTTTTCCAGGATGCTACAGGATGAAGCCCTGCAGTGCCCAGTGGAAGCATGTGGGATCTCTGCCTTCAGACTCCAGCACCCACGAGCCACAGGTGGCTCCTTGGACACCAGCAGCAGAGCACCCCACCTTTCTCAAGGCTTGCTTGGACACCTCAGATCTGCAGTGAGCAAAAGAGATCCACTGGGTGGGAAGGGGCAGAGGAAAGGGATGAGCTGTGTGGTTACACGGCACGTAAAATACTGGTAGCTTTTCTGTTGTTGTTATTCTTACTCTCACATCTCTTCTATACTCCTGGCTAATCCAGTAATCTATTATTTATGTGTAGCCTAATTAAGGTTGTGAGTAGCTTGATCTTTGTTTACTTAAGTATATAGCGGAAGATTGCCAAGATTAAATAAAATTATCTCCAGGCAGGCAGAGCTAGCTGTGAGCAGCACTCAGAAGGATGGCTGCAGGGCTGGTGAGCTGCCCCTTGCCAATTCAGATGGAGATCACGTCGGATATTGCATCATACACCAGTGTTGCCAATTCAAGCTTATCTAATAAAGATTCAGATAAACCAGACCAAACAAAACCCAGTGAAGTCTGAAACTAGCTAATCGAATTTGATTAGCTCTCTTCAGTTTCTGCTTTTACCTTTTACCTGTTAAACCTGAGCATCCATTCTTGTTTAGATACCAGGGCTGTGCATTTAATGAAATACACAAGGGGCAGGGAAGAGATTTTTTTAAATTATGACATTAAAGACAATTCAGGAATAAGACATTTTTGCAGCAAGACGTATTCTCTTCTAGGCCAGCTCTGGTGTGTCACAGCACTTGACCAAGTCTGGACATTTGTTAGAAGGCAGCAGAACACAGGTGCCCCTAGAAAGACACCAAGCTATGGATACATCAGGCAGGTGAGCTACAACACCACAACCTGGACAGCGAGGAGCATTCCAGCTGTTCTGCCAGGAGATTCTTGTCGTGGCTTCCCCTAATGCCCCTGAGGTGTATAAACCTGCAGCTGGATCCACAGCCACCCTGAAATCACAGCTCATATGTCCACGAACCTGCTCCTTCCCTGCTGCCCTTAGGGGAGCAGAGACACTGTCACCCCGCAGGGCTGCGTGGTTTGGAGGAGCCCACGAGTCGTTGCTGCCCTGAGTTATTGCAATGAAGTCGATGGCACTGTTCATATGAGTAACTACTTGCAGACAGGAATAAGAGGTTTGCAAGCCGCCCCTCGTGATTTACACCAACACAAAGGAAACAGATGAAGTATCTACTGATGTCGATTCCCATTTGCTCAACCACTTTGTCTTAAAGGAGGCTGTGGATAATGTTGCCTTTTCTGAGCCTCACAGATGAAATGTGCTCATAAAATTGCATATATTATGATTTTTATACTTAACAAGCTGGATAGCTTTTTTCCTCCCATCAAACCTATGGCAGGAACAGATCCCACGAACGGAAAGAGATAACAAGACTATTACATTCTCAATGTGCACTGCCACCCTACGTGTTTCCAACACTCGCCAAATTGATCTGTTTGGACCCATTTTAAATATAAATATTGTTAGGCTCTGTGTTAAATGTGTATGCAATGCATTTTATGAAACCTTTAACAAATTCTGTGCAAAAGAATATGTTTTCCCATATGGGCTGCTTAAAGAAAGGCAGATGTGAGGTAATCCAAATCCTTCATATGCTGCTTCTTCCTTTCCCTTCCTTTTGGCAAACTATTTCAGGCAAAGACAAATATTGTATCAAAGAGTTATGGAAATAAACATGAATATAGCTCAAGGGCATAAGTAAATTTCTGGAATATTTTCTGAGTGCAATTAATAGGTAATGTTGGAGGGGGGGAGAAGCACCAAAAATATGCCCGAGGAAGCTAATTTTATTGTGCAGACTGTGCTCTGGGAACCAGGGAGTGGGAGCTGCGCTAAGCAACATTAGTCAGGATGGAGTCTTAATAGGCTGCAGAAAAAGACAAAGAAACCCAAGTCAGGAGTTCAGGGGAGAATGTTTAACACTCCTGCAGCGAGCTGAAGCCAGCCAGGGGCTCCCTCCTTCCGCTGCTTGAGGCGGGTGGGATGGCTCAGCCCCCAGCTGGCACAGACCAGGCTCTCTGTGCTCAGTTCTATGCTTTCCCCTGCACTGCTCAGAGCCAGGCTCTTAGAATTATTCAGGAACAGAGGGTCTGGCCTCAGCAGCTGCTGACAGTGCACTCATAAGGACCCAGGACTCCAGGACACAACTTGCTCAAAGTCAGATGGAAAGACCCCGTGCAAGAGGAGGAGGTGAGGACCTCATCTCGCCAGCAGCACGTCCAGGCAGTGGATGGCCACCTCCTGAGCGTAAAGAAACATCTGGAGGCTGCAACGTTTGTTCTGGACCCTGCTCACATGAATGATGCACTAAGACAATTTTCTGCCTTATCATAAATTCTGCAGACTCATGAACTTTACAGTCTATGAAGCACGCACTATATGGGAACTACTTATCTTGTGCTGAAAGCAATATAAAAACAGATGGCAAAGATTGTATCCAGAGATAAATCAACAGTGCTTCTGCCACTTTGTCCACAGACATCTCTGATACAGCAGGACTCCCTGACACCCAGGGCACTCAGCTGGCGAGCACACTGCCAGGGCAACTGAACCAGAGCAAGGAAGGGCTCTGCTGTGAAAGCAGCCCTGGTCCCTTCCCTTCTAGAAGGAAACCAACAGTGTGCCCACCGCCCACCCACATGCTTCCACCCTCCAGAAAACCACAGTGTAAACAGAGGAAAAGCCCTGCTGCCCACAGGGGGCCTTGCACAACCCTACCTCTAACTCCCAGAGCAAAAAAAACAAGTGCCAGAAGCAGAAGAGAAAACACCAGTACCTAGCAGCATCACCCTCAAAAATGGATGTTCTTACAAGAAAAATAAATAAATATATTGCTCACCTGCCTGGTTACGCAGTTCATTAATAGCCTGCAAACATTAAACCAGATGTTGTGTTTTATCACTTGACTCAGATCATTATGACTTTATTTCTGATGGGCCCTGAATAAATGAAATGCAGTTATAAAGGTTATTTAACTATTAAAACAGCTATTAATTAAAGTTCGCCAAATCTTGGGGACTCTGAGGACAAGAAGCAGCTAGGTAAATGTCAGTCATTATTTAGTAAGTCATTGTTATTGAAATATGCAGCACACGAGCTGCATTTCCAGAAGGAGCTGGGTTCTAGCTGGTCCCCACTATAAATATTTTGCACGGGCTTCGTGGGGTGGGTGAAAGGTGAGAGGGTGACTTCACATCAGACCCAATACCACCAGAGACCAAAGCCTCGCTCAGCAGAGAACCAGGAGCTGCAAGGTGGGCATCCCATGGGATCTCTGGTGGAGGAGGCCACACCAGGGCTTGCGGAGTCCTTGGCATCATCCTGAGATGCCCACCTGCATGGACGTGGCAGGCAGCTGCTGCAAGGATCACTGCTGCCTCCACCTCGTGCCCTGGTACAAGTGTTATTCAGCATTTAAGCCTGACTTTGCTGCTTGCTCTGACCTCGTCCTCAGCAGGAGGCACCGTGCATCAGCTCCGCCGCGTGCTTTCTGTCTACGTAGCAGCTGCTGCCAGGCTTGGCTTCAGCTGGGCCTCTTAGGGGACGAGAGAAGGCAATAAATCATCGTAGTTACAGCTCTGGCCTCATCCAGGATTTCTAGAAACTGTTCTAATGCCAATAATTAACAGAAATAATGCTGAATAAGCCTCCAATGTGTAGGAGCTTTAAGAGTAAAGCAGTTCAGTGAGCTGAAACCCCGGAGAAAGAAATATGGAGCTGCTCTTGCATATTATTCTGTAATTAGGGCCTGCTGCAACTTCATCTCCATCCCCCTGCATAACGGAGCACACCCATGTGTGTGTGTTTTTCCTTCCAGTGATAGGAATCAAGGGGAACAGACACCTCAGAAGTCCCATCCCTGTTTTATACACTAAATAACAATAAAACAATAATTGGATTCCTTTAAGCATGAGGGGGAAAAAGAGAGGAAGAGAGAAATGAATATGGAGCAGAGAACCCAAGCATTAAATCAGGGGATGAAATGCCTGCCAATGTTTTTTTAAAAACAAACCAAGGAAATGAAAGGGCTGCAAGCAACTGCCATACAGAGACAATAATCACTAATCAAGTCAAAGTTTCATTCTAATCAGTTCAGTTGTTAAGGGGAAAAAAATAGAGCAATGGCTGGGCTTGAAGAATTACCATTCGTTACTGTCTCACGCCTGAAGATTTCATCATCAGGGCCAAGCACAAGGCTCATTAGGGCCCTGCTGGCCAGCCCCAGCCTCCTCTGACATGCTCTGGCTTGGATCAAGCCTGGGGAAGAGGAGGAGGATGCAGGGACTGGGGTGACACTGCCACCTGGGCCAGCCTCCTGCCTGGCTGCAGAGCCCCGTGCTCCAAGGAGGGAGGTGTGCGATGCTCAGCACCCCTCTTCTGGGGCAGAATGGGGGAAAGCAAAGCACACTGCAGGCTGCTGGACACCTCCTATCCCACAGAAATGTGCCACGGGACCAATGAAGCTGTGACTGCTGAGGGAGGTGGCCAAGCAGCAGCAGATCCCCATATGTTGTTGCTAACAGCTGAGTGTTTTTTTTTTTTTCTGACTTTCAGAAGGACTCAGGCACCAGCCAGGCCTTGGCCATTGAAGTCTAGGCTATGCAGAAGAATGGGAGACAACTAGGAACATGTGTGCCACTGCCTTCCCATCGTCTGCTTCAATTTCTTGAAAAATCCCACTTACATTGTTTTCTCTAGTAAATACACATTCATTTAACAAGAAATGCAGATGCTTTCAGTGCCGAATCCCACAATCTTGGAAACTCAACTGTAAACTTGCAGGAGTAACTTCAATTGGGCATTTCTTCTCAAAAAAGGCCATTCGTAGTACAGACCAGCACAGGAAAGGGGTCTAGCTAATGTAAAGACTTCCTTCCTACAAAATAAGAGGCATAAGCTGAGGGAGAGGACGTTAACACGTGGCAGAGCTGCAGCCTGTCCCTGTGCTCCTGGATTGCTCCAAGCACCCGCAGAGTGCTGTGCAAACAGTAAGGGTATGGTTTTCAAAACCACTTGGCAGTGTGAGCGCTTCAGTTGAAGGCCGTGCAAGCTTTGTCATCAATTTGAAGGGAAGAAAAGCTAATCCAACAGAGAGTGCTTTTTAACATATTAATCCTGTCCTGTCCCATGAGCAATGTCCCAACAATTATCTCTGCTGCACAGACAGTGACAGGGGCAGGGAGACTTGCCCACACAAGGAAAGGAACAATTTTCAGAATGGTAATTTTAATACATATAGTTCCAACCCCCAGCTCTGTGCTTAGAGCAGCATCTGTGCCGTGCTTGATTGCAAACAATAATATTGACAATGAGAGTGTTCTCTTGAAACAAAGGTTTGTATGGATATAATGGCACAGATCCTGATCTCATTCTCACTCCTACAAACGTGGCATAAGTTCCATCAGAGCCACTCAGGTCCAGCTAAGACTGGAAACTCTTCCAGGACCAGAGAACATCACTGGGGCCAAGGACCCTTTTGTTCTCCAGTGGCCAGACACAAGCAGCAGAATGTGCTTCCCAGCCCTGGGCCAAGGGGAGAAATTAAAACCCAGGCTGATGGGGTGACGTTGGAAGAGTAGGAATCAGAACGAGAGGAGGGCAAAGAAACAATGAGAAGATTATGAGAGCAAAAGCAAAAGGGGAGGCTAAGGGTGAGAGGAATGAAGAAAAAACAGTGTTATATATGCTGACAGCTATCAATGCACAGTAAATTGAGTTGTTTCAGCTCAATATCTGGTACATACCTTCCCTGATTATGACACCACATTTCCAAACCAAAGAAACTAACTCAGATGATTGCCTGTGCAGATGGAGAAGGCTCTGTCCGCACGGAGCTGGCGAGCAGCCCTGGACCGAAGCGCAGACTGTTCCAAAAGGAATTTTGCTGGTTGATTTATAATTTTATCAAGTCCAAGAGGATGCGGGAAGCCCTGCAGGACTTGGCATACTAATGACTCTGTAGACTGTAAGAGTTTGCCTCGGTTGCTTTTAAACACTGTCCCTTCCCCAAGCCCCTAAGGCTGAGCTGTAAGTACACAATTTTCCACATTCAGTTCTGTCTTTGGGGCATGCTTTACTCCCTTTGATATTGCATGGAAACAAGCTTCAGTTCCATAATGATGTGGTTAAGTCAGAACCAACTACTGAAATTGCTTTTCATCTTTTCTCTACCTGCTATGCGGATGTGTGGACCCATGCTAACAGCGAGGCTCTCCTCCAAGCATCACCCTTGGCTCTCCTGCAACTCCCTAGAGAAGTCACTTAACTTCCCAGTGTCTCCATCTGCAAACTAGGCTATAATTATTACCTACAAGGATACAGCTTAGAATTGCTTGGGTTAGCTTTGAAGTCCTTAGCGGAAGGGGATGAAGATCCCTCGGTATCCAGGTTGTGTACCAAAGAGTACAGAGGAAGTTGGGATCACTGATAACCTACCAGGTGCCTCCTCATGGGGAGGTGCCTGTTCTGCAGGGCAAGCTTTCTGAGCTATCATGCACCAGCAGAGGTGGGCCACTACAATGGGGTGCAGTGCTGGGACACAAAGCAAAGATGGCATAGGGGCCTGAAACTGCAAACAGGGGCTGCTGTAGGGCAAGGAAGAAGTATGTCATACAGACCATGCTGGAAAACAGAGTTTTGAGCTCTTCAAGAGTGACTGATGGGCTGGGGAAGCATGCTAAAAATCCATGGGTGAAGGCTCAGATAGCCTCCAAGTCGACTTGCCTTGCCTTTAAATGTTACATATTCCTCAAATGTCCACACGTGAAAGCTTACCCCTCTTTTTTCCTGCTGGCCACCATATCAAACAGTCTGTTTGAGAATGCAGAGGACAAGTTTTGAGATGTGGCTTGATTTATAAGTAAGAAATGATTATACTCTCTGTGATTTACCTTCTTTGTGTTTTACAACTAGAATAAATTGCAATTCTGAATGTTGCTCTGGAATTATTAGTTATTGGGGGAGAAGCAATACCATGAATCTTGTGAGCTGGTAACTTATCCCCGTGGCACATCTTAGACACACTGGACCGGAGGTTTAATTGGGGGCACTGCAGTTTTGGGAGAGAGGAAAGCAGCAATGTCACAGGTTGTGAGCAGTAAGGGAATTGGAGCTCAAGTCAGGCAAACTGATACTTCGTCCACCTGCTGTAATTCTCTACTTTGCCAGTCTCCAGGGGGGCATTTTGTCCTTCTCCTTCCTTCCATCTTTCTTTTCCTGTGTATCTAGACCAGGATGGAGACACCAGGGTGGAAGATTTGTAGTCAAGCAAATCACTCTGGCCTAGGGCCAGACTTGGTTCTTTTCTGAGTTCAGTTACAGAAGAAGAACTGGACAAATAGGAGGCTTCTACCAGGAGATGCCCTGGAATTACTGCATTACCTGGCAGCCCCCCAAGTATTTCTTCACCTATCCTATCAAGTACACCAGCTAAAGGCAAGCCCACACCAAGAAAGCCCAAATCATCTGTAGCTGGTTCAGCCCAGCCCATGTGCAGCTCAGCACTTCCCACACTACGGCCACCTTCCACCCAGCACCGAGAGGCATCCGCGCATCTCAGTACCCCACCTGCACAACCGCCACCTCCAGCTGCTCTAGGAGCATAATGCAAAAGTCCTTGGAATAGATATTTATGAAATCAGAGAAACTTATTCTGGAGCTCTGTGAGCACAAGGTTTGCATTTTATCCTGATGAACAAAGGTTCATTTCCTTTATGCAATTTATCTTAAGCAGAGATACTTGAAACTGGGCAGAAAAAAAAATGAAAGACTTTATGACAAAGGTGCTGCGGAGTGCAGCACGCTGAACTTTGAGACCAATAAGGTATCTTCTAATCTATTTTTCTATGAATTCTGCCAAGCACTTTGAAATCAGTAATAACTTGTTGCAGGGAATTTCACAGAGCAATTATATTTTATTCAGAAAAGTATTACCATCATTTTTTATTTCTTCTGAATCTTGGAGGTAACTCAGTCAGAACTCAACACACATTTCTGGGTGAGAATAAGCCATTGCGTTAGAGCATCATATTTCTAGGGCTGTTTTTTTGTTGCTGTTGTTGTTTTTCCACCTGCCATATGCTTCAAAGAACACTATATTTCTTGTCTTTTCAGGTGATAGGTGCAGAGTTTTTCTCCAACATAAACATATGCATGCTTCCTGAAATTACAGTGTTAGCTTAGAATAAAGAAATACATGCAAATAGCTCAGATAATTGCAACCAGTGTTCATCATTTTACATTGGTCAAACTGAAAGTCATTTACAAGCCAGTGCCTCTTTGCCAGGCTTTGGTAGACATCCTTACAATTTCTCTCCGTTCTCCAAACTTGCCTGTTCTAAATAGCTGTGCGTCATCTACAAATTTTGTTACTTCACTGCTCATTGTTTTTCTAGATCATTAATGACTATACAGCCTAGTCCTGGATCTGGTACAAATCCCTGAGGCACACTACCCTTAATTGTCTGCAGCCACAATTTATCTGCTATTCTCTTTGCTGACATGGCCAGCAAAGACGCAATGAAAGCGGTGTCCCAACAGAGGGCCCTTCCTCCAGGCTCACAGTAACTGCAAAAACAATGCAGAGGCAAATAGCTGCATTCCCTACAAAGTCCTTCAGCAAGACAGATGATCAGCTGCTTTCAGAGAACTCAGCAGAAACACACAGGGCTTTGAAATACAAGAGACAATACGAAGCATCATGGGCTTTCAGAAACCCATCGCTGATGGTAGCAGCATCAGTACCCCAACTCACAGAGGGCAGAGCAGGCTCAGCAGGCACAGCAGCTGCCAGCCAGCATGCAAGGCTGGGAGTAGGCGGACAGCTGGAGCTGCAGCTCAAACCCCGCCAGTAAGGGCAGAAAAAGGGAGTGAGCAGGTGGAAAGACTGGCAAGAGGGCATTAGGACAACCAGCACAATAAAACAGGGGATGCACCCAGCACACAAAACCCAAAACAGCAAGATAATGCTGCTCTCTGGCCATGAGACCAGCCTGTCTGTGCTTACCTGGACCAACATGAGCACCTCAAGCCATACACAGCACCATCCTACAGCCCACACCAGGGCTCAGGGCCTTAAATAAGGTCTGAGTGGGCCAAGGGCTTGCAGCTGGTGCCCCACACCTGGCCACAGTCACTGCTGAATGAGGGAGATCCCTGGCAAGCTCTGCCCCAGGGCCACTAGCCCCATCCCCAGGAGGGGAGGGAGACCAGGAATAGTCCCTGGATGGACAGGGTGAGGGAGGGCTAATGGGGCAAGGGAGGACGTCAGATAACTAACTGAAGAGCCCATAAAAATCAGAAGTGCGTGCAAATATTCCCAGCGTGCTTTAAAGATCCCAATGTTTTGCTGTTTGGCTTGTGTTCTCCGGAGCAGTGTAAAAGTTCTCTGATAAAAACATGATAATTTCCAGCCAGTAATTGTTTTACCAAGTCTCTGTTTCAGTAGTCACGCGCCAACCATGGTTTCCTCAGACAATTAGCTCCTTGCCATTGCTGCTGACTTTGCGGATCGTTTTGGAGCCATCCTGAGCTCCGAGCGGGGTGTTTAATTGTGCTGACCGGTCACACGGTATTGCTCTTACTTCTTGGCTGGTTCAGCAAAACCAAGATTCAGTTTGCAACGCGGTTAATATAGGCTACATCTTTATATGGATTTTTAATAGCTTTTCCCCAGCACAGCCTTCAGCACAGGTGGTGTGTGCTAAAGCCAGCGCTGGGAGCTCTCTGCCTGCAAGGACGACGGGAGACGCTTTGTAGCTCTCTGCTGTCCTTGTGCTGCAGTGATGGAAATACAGATCGCAGCCACTGCCCAACTGTCCTTTCACCTCTGGTTTTGACTTTGGCAAAACCAGCAGTGAACAATATTGTACAATGATTTGAACACTGGGACGAACACTACCTGACAGCTGCTGAAACACCACCAGCCAGGCTTCCTCTGTCCCGATGCGCAGCACCCGCAGAGACTGTCAGTGCAGGAGGTACACCAAACCCCGGCTGTATGCCAGTGACTCACTCACATGCTGATTGGGAAAAAAATATATATTTTTCCCCTTTTGAGTGATGATTACAGTCAAGAGAGTGACTTAGAAGTGACATGTGAGCTTGTATGATGAGTTTTTTTCGATACCTTCCAGGCTGAAAGCAGCCAGTTCGCACATCACGGCACAGAGGCATTCTCCAAAAACCAGCACAGAAGTTACTGGAGGTCTGGAAAATCAAGTAGCCTTCCATACTGCTTTCTATACCATCACCAGCAGTAAAAATTATACTGACAGTAACTGGCCTGTCTTGATGTGCTAACATCCAACAACCTCAGTGAGACCAGGAGGAGACCACGCAGCTGCCACCAGCCTCATCATAACCCCTTGCCATACAAGTGTTTGGGGCTGTTTGAGGATGGAAAACTCAGGAGAAAAGGAGCTCTTCCCTCCCACTCCCACCAAGGAGAGGGGACCTCGAGTGCCACCCTATTGCAGCCGTCAGGAGCTGGTGCTTGCAGCAAGCCCTGCCAAACAGCGGCACGCAGCTGGAGCACGTCCCTGGGGATGCCTGGACACGGGCTGAGTGCTGGCCTTGCAGCCTCTGCTGTGCTCTCACATCTGCCCCATCATCTCCTGCAATTCACAGAAACATTTAAGCCTCCTCCCTGGGAAAGCCTATCAGGTTCCTCCTCTGTCAAAGTCAAGTGGATTTAATTAAGTCAATCCAATCCAGGCTAGGACTGGTCAAGTTCTCCCCAAAGGTACACGATGGAGTTACCAATGTTTTCACAGGAATTAAACTTATAATACAATAGACAAAAATAAAGCAGGCTTTGTACGTGCCGTTACAGCTACCTTTTTTGCATACAATTGAATAAATTACCTTTTGTTATGAAACATTAATCCTCTTTGCTAAATGGCATAATTCCCCCCTCGGATGCGTTGCGAGCGCTGGAGTGCTCTCGGAGCAGGCTCGGAGACACCCTCACACGCAGCGCAATTACCGAAAGAGCACGGAAGTGTGCGTGCCCTGCGAGGAGACCGTGCACCTTGTGAAGAGGTCACGAAGTTACGTGTTACATCCTCATCAAGGGCAGCCAGAGCTATTAGATGGGCACAGATCAACCTGCAAAGGAAAGAGAGGTGGGGGAGACCTCAAGAGCGAGAGGGAAGTCTACAGGAAAAGGAGCTCATGGCTGATAATCGTTATTTGTATTACAGGAGTGCTCCAGCCTAAGGTTTCACTGGAGCAGTGCAGCACAGAAGTCTCTGCCCTGCCAAGCTCCTGGTTCAGATGGGTGAGATGTGTGAAGGAAGAGCTGCACGGAGGCAGGGGCTGGAGCACGCTGGTGAGCCTGGACACTCAGCAGAATCCATGGCACTGTTCAGCCCTGATGCTTCTGCTCCTGGCTGAAGCTTGTCCTCAGCTATCTGCCTCCAGGAGCAGAGCCGTTCTTCCTGTGCAATTACACATTGGAGTTAATAATTATCAGTTTAGAGGAGAGGTTTTCCTATGTCTCTGTTTCCCTGCTATTTGCACTCCCCTAACAAACACACACACCGGTGTCCAGAACCGAATCCATTAGAGGGAAAACTCCACAAATCTGTATGAAACGACAGCTCCTGACAAAATGAAAGCAAGTATCTGGTTCAGATCTGCACTTAAAACAATCCAGAGACCTATTAGTATTCATCCCGCATGATCCAGATGGAGTAATAGCGGCTCTATGAATAAAATTAAAATCAGAGAGCTGATGCTGCCTCGCACTTAGGAAGATGCTGCCGAGTGAAGACCACATTACAAGTGTGATGACTACTGCTTCAGTGAAAGGCTTGGCCCTCCGTCCCTTTGGGTAGCCACTTGTTTTAGGAATGTCTCTTTGCTTACCACCTCTCAAGGGGAGCGGTGAGCATACCACTGGCTTGAGCCTGGGTCTGATGGGGTACCACACCACTCAGCGACTCAAAGGAAATGGAGAATTTATGGCTGTGCTGTGCCTGGCAGCCATGGGGCTCCAGGGAGCAGGGTGAAAGACTGCAGCAGCAACACGACCTCCTCGGCATCGCCTCTCCCTGAAGGATGCAGGTTGAAGCTTAATCCTGGCAGTCCCAGCAGCCTGCAGAGAGCATGTGGGGGACAACAGAAATCCTCTTTGAGCGGCAGGCGGGTGAAATCTATAATGTTTTTAACCAGGTTGCAAGTTTCAGGCTGTAGTTCATTAATTCAGAAAGATAAAATTGATATTCCCTCTCGCCCAGTCGATGGAATCGAAGGGTCTCTCTGTGTCTCCTAATGTGGCCATTGTATTCCAATAGCTCCAACTGCATCTGCAGCACTGGATCATTGTTTCCCTGAGAGATCTGTTGGAGAAGCCCATAACCAAACCACCTCCACCACTCCACACAAACCTCAGCCACCTGGATGTTATTTCTGTAGCCTTTCCATCTCCCTGCTTGACAGCCCACAGTGTTTCTAGCCTGTCCTCCGAGGAAACGAATCAGAGAGGAAACTGCTGTGCAAGGAGTCTCTACTTTGATTTTAACGACATGGTGGCTATGTTATTCAAAACACCTTTTTTTTGCCAAGAGTCCCTAAGCACTATTATTCATGGTTGCTTATGAAACCCCTCATTAGCTCAAGAGGCTAATTGTTGTTGTTGAAAAAATGAGCAGTGAATCTTCAGGTCTGGCGCTCTGCCATTGCAGGAACCTGTGCTTATTTATTGCAAGGCTTGACATCTTTTTCTTTTACAGTCAGAAAAATAATCCCCAACAAACCCACATTTTTCCCCTATACTACCAATTGTCTTTTTGCCTTTCCTCCCCTCGCCCCCCCTCCTTTTCTTTTCATGATTTTAATGCACAAGAACATTTAGGATTGCCAGTGGATCCAAACCTGTGCTTTGTGACTCATTTCAGATAAACTCTTCTGGACAATAGCAAGATTACCTCTAAAGTGCCAATACCGGGGAAATAAAATTTCTAGTATCAAAGGATTCTTCAAACCAACAGAGGTGCAAGAAGCTCCAGTAACTGGAATACGAATTTAGATAAAATAACAAAATGACAGACGTAAGAAGCATGTAATGGTGTATTCCAGACCGAATGCCCATCACTGCAGCTGCTGGCCCTAAGACAAAAGCCAGGCACTGGCCTTTCAGCTCAGGCAGTCAAAACTCACTGGTATTCTGCTGAAAGAGCATCCTCGGGTGAAATTTCTATTCTGTCAGCAGTGCATAGCTGGCTTTTATCTGTGCTCTACGTGTCTTTGCATGAAGACATTTTTGATTCTTCAGAACTGACGTGAGAAATCATGACAACACTAATGTAGAAAGATGTAAAGCAAAATCCCCAAACTCCCAAACACCTCAGTTGTTGTCTCTATTCTACAGATAGGTGAATGGGAAAATCTGCGGACATGTGGCCTACTAGAATAGAAGGTAATAGGAATACAACAATGCAACACCTTAGCCCTGTGATCCTCACAAGCTCATCCCACGCAGTTGAAAAAGGCAGAAAAACTCTCAGGTTTTACTGGAATGGACAAAGTTCTTGTTTCTGGCATGTTTCTTAGAGTATTTCTAGAGGAATATGCCCTTTGTTGAGTCTTCTCTTACTTTCTTTCATTGTTACTTGTGATAAAACCATTGAAAAAATTTGAGTAGCAAAGAACATGGTGGCCATAACTTGGCTGTTATTCCTTCCCCGTTTCGATGTCAGTTGTTTTCCTCGTTTGAAAAATGCCATCCAGCTCCATCCATGCAATATGTGATGGGGCGGATCCCTTACATCCCCCAGTCAGCTAAGCCTTGCATCGCAAGAAGGCATCACTTTGGGGTCAGAAGGGGCAGTCAGCCCTGTACTAGTTAATAAATTGTCCCTCCTTTCTGGCTGCTAGGAGAAATGAGGCTTCAGTTGGGAGGAAATTATTTTGCGGGTATTGTTTTGCTAACAATAGCAATTCCTGCTTCTGAGAATGCTATTTTGCTTAATACCTTTTTCTGTAGAGTGGTAACATGTGACAGAGTAATAGCCCTGGGAGCAGTACGAAGGGTTCGGGTTTGTGACAAGAAAAACAGACAACTGCTTCCACCAGAAAAGAAAGAGAAAATAAATGCAAAGAAAATAAGTGTTCCACATAAGAATCCCCTGACAACATAAGGTTTTAATCTTCAGGATTAAATGCTGTTTTGATTCTTTACCGCACAATAAATGTATTTACAGGGGAAAAGGTGCCTATTTTGTTCTCCGGAAAGAGAAAAGGTAGCCAGGCCTAACCAATACCCTGCTTGTTTGAAATAAAATGCAAGTGCGTTTTGAAAAGGAGAAGTTTTCTGTCAGAGGAGGAATTAGAAGCAAACCCCACAGATTGGGACAGGACTGGAGCGGATGGCCCAGGGAACACCCAGGCTCACTGCAGCTGACCTGCCAGCCCGGCGTGTGGGAAGGGGAGCAGAGCAGTTCCCGGTGCCTTGTGTCAGCTTTCTGCTCGTATGGGTGTTGATGAGACCGCTCAGAGTGCACAAGCACTGAAAATTAACTGACAATACAGCAGGAGGCAGGACACTGGCAGCTGGTGCTGCAGCAAAGGGAGAGGCTGTTCTGACCAAGGCAGGGAGGCTCCCCAGGCAGTCGCAGTCTTCACTTCCTGAAGAAACTCTTACTTGATGAGTTCATGTGCAGGCCTGAGCTTGCTAAAAGGCTACGAGAAGCTTTGTCCTTCCTCATACGGGCATGGAAGCAGAGGCAGATGGAGCAGTAGGCACAGGGCTTCTATGGGAGGCCTATCACAGATGAAGACACAGCCTGATGCCCTTAAAAATGACTTCCAAAAATGGTCCAGTGACCCAAGAAATCTAATTATTTGTTAACGTTTTTTGTTAATTGTTTGTTTGGTTTCATTTTACAGAAAGCATGGCTGTATTCTCGGCACAAAGTGTTTACGCTGATGAATTATTCAAATTCTGTAAAACTAGACATCATTATTCTCATGTGAGATAAAGGAGCAGTTGCACATATACATGGATGTAGATATAATACAGGCTTTAAAAAGAAGTACAATTCTTGGTATTCTCCACCCAAGAAAAAAAAAAAAAAGGACAAAATGCTCTTTTTTTTCTTTTATTTATAAGAAAAGAAACAAATACCAAGCCCTGCCACACATGCTTACGATAGGACGCTGGTGTGCCCTGCATAGTCCTCTGATGATAACCGACCCCTTGCCCACCTGCATCAGCAACCATAAATAACGAACCCATGTGAGCAGTCTCAGAGAGGAGACACAACCCTATGGAAGCTGTGGAGGGAGAAGGCAAGGAGCTGCCCCAGGCTTTCCTGCTTCTCTTGGCTCTTCCACCAGGCTCTGAACTGAGGCTTTTTCTCCCTCTTCCTTCACGAGCAACCTTACCACAGCAAGCCCACATGCACATCTGCAGCTCCCTTAGCAACCTGACAGCTACGGGCATGTGCAGCACCACAAGCAAAGCACCTCTGACAATAAACCAGCACAGAATACCTGCGGCCTGTGGAACCCCACAGAGACAAGCCAGTGCTTGTTGTTGCAGTGCCACCAGCACCGTTAATTGAGCAAGCCACAGCTGACAGCCACAGTGCCCAGAGCATTCCTGTGAAAGCAAACCTGCACGACTGCAGGGAGCAAAGCTCCCACTCCCCCCTCCAAAAAAAATTAAATAAAATAAAACACTTACAGCCTCCCATTTAAACCTCTCAATTAGCCAGGCTGCTCGTCAGAGGGCTAAGCTTCATAATAAAAAGAAAATAACAAGAGACTTCTAACAGTGCATGATAAAAAGAGTGCAAAGCAAAGAGCTTATTTAAAAAAAAAATGTAAGAAATCTTTTAGCTGATGTCCTTTTCCCCTCTCCAGAGGAGTGATGGAGGGGGCTTGTGTTCTTATTGATCTGACCTGCAACACCCCTAGCATAGCTTGTTAAAAAAAAGAAAAACAATGTTTAGCAACACAACATCTTGTTAACTTGGTAAGCCAGGGTAGCCTTCCTGCTTCTCAGCAATCATTCAGGCATTGCCTGCTTAAAAAGAGCCGAACAGTATTGCTCTTAATAGGGTTATTAATAACTGTCACATTCCAAGAAGGTGAAATAATGTGTTTTCTTTCTTTCATAGATTAAAGCAAACCTGTAGGGAATTGTCTGAGTCCTCCTGCCCCCACCCTTTGTATCCTTAAGCCAGTGTGGAAGAACAGTGAAGCGAGTCCACCAGCAAAAATGCTTCATCAACGTGATATATTTAAAGGGAAATATCAGCCAAGAACCTAAACCTAACCCTAACCCAAAACCTAACCCTAAGCCTAACCGTAACCCTAACCCTATCCCAACCCTAACCCTAATTCCTAACCCGTAACACTAACCCTAATACCGTAGGGTTAGTGCTATATATAATATAATATATATATATATATATATATATATATATAATATAATACCTGCTTCTCCAGCAGGTCAACAGACTTTGAGGCTCAGAGCACCCTGCCTCTCCTGGGGGAGCTGTAGGAACACGCCTCCCTGCCTAGCTACCACAAACAGCCTGCTGACAGACTGCCATCATTCTAGCCTTATCATTAGATTTTAAAACCACTGGCAGGTCCTCAAGGTTTTGATCACAGGCATCAGCAGGGAAATCACAGTCTGTAATTGCGTTAGCCATTTGGGATGGCCGCACTGAATTGCCTCAGCCAGAACCCACAGTTTCAGAAGAGACTGGAGGCTTGCTCTGTGGCAACAAGCACTGTTTAATGATGCCTCAACTTTTGCTCTGAAAAATGTGCTTGTGGCTTTATTGTAGTTACAGCTTTAGACCTAAATATAACTAAAAGCCAGGGGGAGGAGAGTTGTTTAAGATTGTTTGACTGCAGGCAAAAATCTCAATCCCTACATGTTAATTTAAAGTTTGAGGTTTTTCTTTGGATGCTGCTGAGATAGACATAGCTATGAGTAAATATGTCAAAATAATCTATCAAGGGGAAATCTGGTCCCTGAGCTGTTCAATGAAAGAGGTAAATTACACAAAGATTATTACTTGATTTCCAAAATATATTCAAAAAAAAAAAAAAAAAAAGAGATAAAGAGAAGAATAGGACAAGCGACAAGCTTTGGGGCTCTTTAATAACTTTTAGACAGATTCCATCCCTTTTTTTTTGCTTTGAAATCAGCAAGATTTGGACACATTCATTACTAACTGCAGTTCCCAACCTTTTTCAGCCTAGTTCAAACTAATGTGGAGCTACAAGGCTGATTTGGAGCTCTGAATTACACTGGAGCCTGACTGTCTTTCATCTCTATCACTGCCACTGTTACCAGATGACTGCGTGCTGCAAAGTGCTTACATCTTCCTTCAAGACTCCAGCTCCTAGGTGGAAGTAAGCATGGAAGAAAGCTGTTGTTGCTGCTGCACAGAAAAGCTTGAGAAATAAGACCCAGCTGTACCCAATAAACTCGGACAAGAAGGTTGGGGAAACAAACAAACAAACAAGCAAAAACAGACAAAACCTTCAGCATTTAATTGAAAAGCAAACAAAGGTATTTCTTCAGTGGTGGAAAACTCCTTCATGGTTTTCATTGGAAGGAGGCTGCTGAGATGACTTTGCAGACGAGGTTGCCACAAATGGGGGAAGGAATTGTCACAACACGCAGAAGCCCGGTGCAGATCTGGCCCACGCACCCACACGTACACACGCAGATGCAGAGCACAGGAGCCAAGGCTCTCAGCAGTACCTGTCCCAGACTCTGTCAGTCAAAGGGCTGGGGGTCTGTGAGCTCAGCCTGGGAGCTGGACTGGCCCCAATCCCCAGGGCACGCTGCACGCACCCGCCTGCTGCTCCAGCCCCTGGGCTTCATCCTTCTAAGTGCTCTGAGTCTAAATCACCTTGTGCTTGGAAAGCCTGGGTAAAAGTTGACCACCGTGCTAGAAGGCTGTTGTTCACTAGTAGAAGTGCTGCATTAATCCATGCAATAAAGAAAAAACTTGTCTTAAAAAAAAAATCAAAAATATTAAAAAGCCTAACTGAATAGTATTCCCCTTGAGGCTTATCAATGCTTCATTTTCCATCGCAAAAATAACGTACTGTAAAAGACTGATTAGTCAACTGATAATTGAGTTCTTAAATGTCAAAAACAATATAGTATGAATATTCAACAGATCATGACACTGAAACTTACCTGTTCAATCAACAGTGACTAACATTTTTTTTATTCCCATTGTTCTTTTCCAGATATTATGTTAATTTGACTTTTCTGAGGTACTGAACAAGGTTCTCTTAAAACATGTCGTCTTGCAGGTTAATGTATAACGGGCTGCTTAAAAGAAAACTGTTTGGAAGTCGTGCCTGATTTATATCCCTTTGCATTAGCTTCATCTCACAGTTCAGGTAAAGGGGCAATTGAAACAAAATTGTGTTGAAACAGATATAGTTAATATTTCAGCTTCCAAGAAGGAGAAAATTCAGCATGTAGTTTGAAAAAAAATGTGATATTTTCCTGCTGTTTGAGGTTAAATGCAGCCCAAGGTTCAAAGTCACAACACATTTCAGACATCATTTAATTTAACAGGGGAAAACACAGGCCAAATTTAATTAAAGGATGTATCTGTGGTTTTTAAATGAATGCAGTGTTATCAGAGCAGCCCAAACAGCCGGGTGCTCCTCTTCGGGCAGGAGAGCTGGGTGGGAAGCTGCAGGAGCCAACGCTTTGCCCATGTCCTCTTGAAACCCCAGTCTGCCACACGCTGCAAGCAGCACTGCAAGCCTGGCGGTCCCAGGCTGTGGCAGCAGGAGACATGGAGCTGCTGCAGGTCCTCCTGCATGCCAGAGAATGAGCTACAGGAGACACCGACCATCATCCCAGTACTTCTGCTGTCTCCTAGCTGCCTGAGATATGGTCTCCTCCATGTGCCAAATACCCAAAAGGAGCACATGCTCCTCTTGAAATTAATTTATATTTTTAAATAATTTGAAATTAATGTGGACAAGGTCCTCAGTGGTGGACTGTACAGAAACACCTTTGCATTATCTGGAGATAATAAAGTGGCAGGCTCAGTCTCTCCTCTCATTGTTTGTCTCCATTGTTTCATTTTATATTATTCCGCTGTTCAAAATCTAAATGTATTTATCTATTCCCTTCATCTTTCTCTCTTCAGATTTTCTTTGCAGTTTAGCTTCAAAGAACATACCTTCCAGGAAAGAATATTTCTGGAAATAGCAGAGGAGCTCAAGGATCGTTGCAGTCATGCCACAGGGCACCATTAAATAAAGCAACCTTCTCTGTCGTCATAATCATGATGGAATGACTTGGAAGGAAAACAAACCACGGCTGTAGATGCAGTAGCTGCAAGCACCAAATCTCCAAAGACATCTTCAAAATAAGGGCAGATATATCACAGCAAGGAACAAAACGCCTCAGTACTTGTTTGGGACCATTTGTTTCGCCGAGCCCCTGCAGGTGGTCATTGTGCTGCTCGGGATAATTTGCATCGCTCTCAGCTGCTGAGGACAGAAACCCAACACCCAGACCCTGCTCCAGCACAGCAAACAGCCACACGTTTAAAGACTGAAGGATTACATCTTCCTAAGCATGTTTTTAATTAACACACAAATGTGTCATCCTAAAAGGGAGCTCAGAAGCCTGGCTCTCAGTTACCCCAAACCAGATTTATGGGCTGTATGTGAAGTGGTTAGCAAAGACATTTAAAAACAATTAGGCTCTTGGAGAGGCAGATTCAAGCAGCCCAGACTGCTCTCATTATGCTGGAGAACGGGAAAATAAAGCCATTAGGCTCACCAGACAACTAGGTTATTTGTACTATTTTTTTTAATGATTAGTTTCCTTAATAATGCCTTCTGCCTGCAGTGGGAGAAACTCTCTTGCGCGCTCTTGCACACCAAGTCACTGATGGATGACGCTCCCATGTGACCAACCAAATCCGATTTTAATGTTTCATGATGCTATTGAAATGAATAAAAAGGCAATTATCACTTTCCTTCAGCAAAGCATCAGATGCTGTTGAACGCTGAGGTGCTGCCAGGAGCAGGGGCCCGGAGGGAAGGCAGAGGCAGTCAGTGGGATCGGGGTGCTGCAGCCCTTGCTGCTCTCCCAGGAGTGCCTGCAGCCTAAATGACGACTCACTTTGCTTTTGAGGAAGGTCCAGCCACCTAGCATCATTTCTGACGTGTTTTCTACACTTTTGCTTCACGTTTTGCCTTCAAACTTCCTCTACAGATCACTGCCTGGATTTTCAACTAGTTTTCCAGAGACCCCAGCATACCAAGGCTAGGTGGCCTGAAGGTTGGGACACATGGCTCCAAAGCCGACTGCATTACCCTTGAAAGCCAGCCCTGTTAGGATTTCTTTGTTGCAGACCATCACGCTTGACTTGTCCCCAATAGCTCAGCCAAGTTCAAGCTCGTTTGTACCCTGTGCTGCACAAGCAGGACATGAGAAAGTCCTTGACCCAGAACAGCACAGAGGGGAGCTTGCAAGCACCTTCTCCTTGCAAAGTGCTTTTCTGTCGCTAGCATTTCACTTTAGAAAATCAGAAAATAACTTGCAGCATGCAATTCAAGACAAAATGATTTTTCCTTTGTAAGGAAAACTTTTCTTCACACAGGGAGAATTTCATGTATATGAGATATCATCCAAAATTTCAATGTTCTAGGAAAAGAAGAACGCAAGAAGCTTGGAGCATTTTTCCCCCTCAGCTGTCCCTAGGCCTTACCTAGTCACACAGGTACATCTAAGTCTGAGTCAGGTCCATGCTCCAGCTGCCCTCAGCATCCTGCAAACATAATTCATAAACTCTCCAGCAAGCTGAAAGCAATGGGCAGGGAGTCCCACCTCCCAGAGCCACAGCCCCAGCCCTTTCCCACCCAAATTGTTCTCCTCCGCTGCCTGCTCTGCTGCACATTCATGGAGCTGGGCTCCACAGCCCACGGGCACGGTGCTGTGCGTGTCTGGGTGGTGACTTTGCTACGGCAGGGACTGATTTCAGGAGCCATTACAGTGTCTTGTATGTCAAAGCCCTCCTGAGCAGCTTCCTCTGATGTGAGCCAGAAACTGCTGGGGGCGGGGGCAGTCTTTTTTAACGCCATCATTTTAGAAAATCCATCTATAGAAATAGAATTTAAAATACTGTTAAAAGAGCATTAATATTCCATCTGAGAGAAGTCAGAAATTCAGGGGAATTTCTTTCCCCTCTTTTCAGGTCTGCCATCTCTTACAGCGTTCTGCACATTGTTATGGATATTGCCCTGCCACTCGTTTAGTTCCAGGAGATTTTAGGGAAAAGAGAGATGGACTTCTTTCTTCCATGCCAGGGTGAGGAAAGGTGACCTCACACACACTTACATTAATCACCACCATGCCTTTCATTTGCTGCCCGGACCAGTATCCATAATTATACTAACATATATTTCACGAGTACAATGAGAAAGTGTTTCAGAGCAACAGAGCTCCAACAGGGAAAAATTAACCGCCTTCCTTGTGCTGAGACATAATGGTTGTTTATTCCTCCTGGTGGCACAGTAATTCTCAGCAGAACTGCCCTGAGAACAGAAGTAATATATAGTGTGAGTAAGGGGTGGCAGAATCCGTCCCACAAATACGAGCTATTAAGTTAATTCCTTTCCCTTCCTTATTCAGGCTCTGCAATGACAGCCGGATATTTTACCAGGCTTCCTTCCAGCCCGCAGTAGCTGCAGGAAAAGCAGGACTTTGGCTGGCTTGTGCTCCAAATATTCCTGTTTCTTTGCTCTTGCACCTCTAAAGGCTGCCGCCAGTGACAGACAAGTCTCATTACAGACACATTCAGTATTTTGCTCTTCTCCAGGATGCTTCTGTCACCCAAAAGAATCCCCAGGCTCCAGGCACACACACAAGCTAAACAAATAAAAGACAACTGCATCTATATGCAACTCCATGGCTGTTTCCATGGGTCACCCTTGGAATTGGGAGCTGGCCTCTTTGCAAATACCTGTGAACTTCATCAGTGTGCTGTCTGGTCCTTGCATTACTCTTGAGTGAAAATCTCTAAAAACCACTGGCTAACGATCATGTGCTAGGAAGAAGTTCTATACACTCATCCATGAAGCATATTTCAATTACAAAGGCAATTGAAATTTTAATTAGTAACATCACAGAAGTGTTTCTAACTCAGTCAGCTATGTAAAAAACATACAAATAAGAAAATGAAACCCTTCATCACTCCAACAGATACCACCTTAAAAGCCAGAAGAGGACAGACATTTTTATAAAAGCCTTATCAAGACACACTGGTTTCTAAACTCTGTAGCAGAGAGTAACCCAATCAGTCTTGATTTTGATTGCCACTTATGCAAAGCTGCTCAGCTCTGGAAGGCTCGCAGTCTCGGGGCACCTGCAGGACCGGGGCTCGAGCAGCCTGTGAACCCCGAGAGCTGCACCAAGCCCCTTCCTGCTCTTTGAGAGATGCTCCCTCCCTTTAGTTCCCCACAAAAGTTGGCGCATCACACAGGGGAGCATCCAGGTTTGTGAGTGCTCTTGTTTGCGAGCACATCTCTTTTTTTTTTTTTTTTTTGTCTGCTTTGATTTTGCTGGATTTATTTATTTTGCCCGGATATTTCATTGATCGACTCACCCCAGGTTCTTTTCAACATTCTCTATTGACATAATGGGAGCTCTGCATTTGTTTTCGCCTTCCACAGGTCTGCACACTGCCACATTTGTACCACAGGAAGCAGAAAACTAGTTTAACATCTCATTTATTTCATAGATGAGAAAGTAATTCCCTGCTGAATGATTGTCCTGAACCAACAATTCAGAAAGCAGGAATTTACAGTGCCTGCCAGAGACGGGAGTGCATTACTGTAGTGCTGTTATATAATGGAGCTGAAATATGTTTTTTTCCCCTCCTGTTAGCCTGAAGAGAAAAGCCATTAAATATGATTAAGGTTAAGAGATTGCTAAAATTACAAACAGCCGCCATTCAATTATTTTGCTCTATAAAATGCAACACAGATTGGAGTTATTTCTCCGAAATGTGTTTTTAGAAAATAACATAACACAACTAATGTGGTTTGATGTAGCAAATCAGGTTTCAGATACTTCTTGTAACGCAAAACTAAAAGGTTCATAATTTAACTCAAAGTTCGTAACTTAAAGTCATCAGGTGCTTGCTGCATAAGAAAGTGTGTGTGGGGGATCAATCCCGCCCCAACTAATATTCTGTGGAGTCATCTAAAGCTGGAGAGTCAATCAGTTTTAGCACCCATTAAAGAAAAAGACAGGAAAACGCAACAACTTGGCATAACCGTCACACATTTTTTATGGAGAGTAAATCTCTTGAATAGTTTCTGTAATTTTTAATGTGACCTAAGGTGGGTGCTACGGATTTATCTGGGCTAAGAGAGCTCTGGAGAAACACAAGTAGCTAATCAAAACGCCTGCCAAGCCTGTGGAGTTTCACTGCAGGTTATGGTCATTGGGAGCGTGGGCTGCGTATTCGTCACTGTGCCTGCACCGGTATTTAATGCACTGGGAGGCTCGTCGCGCACCGAGCAAGCTAAGTATGCTAAAATGTGTTTTCTGTCAGCTGTACAAGGAGCTGAAATAATTGGAAAGTCAGGAAAAAATCCGTATGTGGCTATATTAATGGTTAGAGAGTCGTGGTTATTACGGTTAATAAAATATGCGGAACTGCATTATTCTGCTGAAAGCAACACAAACCTTTTGGGGTCCCTGGAGGCAGGGCCCGAAGCTTTTCCATAAGCAAACTCAGAGCGAGCTCAGCACAGAGCCACCTCTGTGTGCAGGTCAGCGGCTGCAATGAGCAAAGTGCCAGCTCAGGGTGCTGGACGGGCCCTGCACAGCCCCCTTGTTTCTGGCCTGGGAGCCTCTGCAGTTTAGGGCCAGCAATTTCAGTGGGAATCACACATGCCAGGAGGATTTGTGACTTTACAGATGCTAATTATTCACCTGTTGGCGTTTGTGTCCCTGCAGAAGTCACACATTTTCACTATAGCTAACATGAGATCTAAAGGGGAGCGCGTGACTTCAGTAAAAACATTTACCTTGACTTGTCACAACTTACCCAGAAAATCTCTTTGCAAGCAGGTCGCAAGGGGTTAACAAAGGAGCAATAGATCATTTGATGACTAATTGCATGATTAGAACCCAACAGATCAATAATTTCTTATAACCGTATACATAATTCATTCCACTAATGTGCTTATAATTATCTAACACGCACCCACTTATATCCTGCAACAGCTATTCATTCATTTATCAACGTTACATAAACTGAAGTATGACAGAGGAAATAAACATGAAGGACATTTTTGAACCTACGCTAAGGCTCAGATGAGCAAGCAACTTTATCACAAGACCCCAGAAAACTTGAACACACAGTGCCCCGACCCACCACCTTCATGAAGGCTAGTGCTGGCCCTTGGGGGCTCCTCAGGCTGGGCTGGCTGCAGCTCAGCATCCCAAGCCCCATGGAGGGTACTTTGCAAGTGCAACCTTCTCAGTCACCAAGTCAGAGGGAGAGGCTTTCCTTCCCACATCTTCCTCCCCCACTATTCCCATAGTTATTTCTCCCCAGACTTGAAGATGCCAGCTCCTGTCTAAACAGCAGGGAATGGAAATGTAGACAGCACCTCTGCGTGGCCCCCACAAAATGTTAAATCGTCTTTGCCTGCTGTGCACAGAGGGTTTGGAGCTGATGGAGTACTAAATGAAGGCGGTCTCTGAATACCATTCATCAAAGATGAGCATGAGAGATAGGTCCAGAGTTACTGGAACTGGTTCTGCTACATCCATCCTCTGCCTACAGTTCCCTTTGTCCTGCCTCCTACAATGTTCCCCACATTAACGTGTCTGGGAGATTAATAATTTTGTCCTGAATCAATGAATTACTGATGGCTAGCGAGATACCTCCCCTGGTAGTAAAGATAATACCATTCCTTGTATAGCACACAAATCACACCGCCATAATCAGAGCAGTTGGGCTTTCTATAGCTGCTGCTACTTAAATCAGAACTGTGCATCTAATCCTTCAGTGTACCAGAGCATTTCCGTGGTGCAAGGGTTTGGTGCAGTGCCTGGGTTCTGGGTTTTGCCCGAGATATTCATGTTTGCATGGAGTTGGCTGGATCCTCTGGGATACCACCGCTATGGAACATGAATTTCCTCACTGCACATACATTGCAAGCCTGCACCTTTGGCAGAGTTGTTCCAGGCTGAGGACACCAGGCAGCCACAAGGACTGCTGTCTGCTGTGCAGCTCATCCAACACTTCTCAGAATGTTAATATCCAGTTTTCAAGCCCAAACAAAAATTTCCCTTACTTGCCTCCACCACCCTTGTGCCCATCTCCATTCCGAATAGTGCAGGGAAGAAAACTAGAAAATAGTACCAGATAGAAGGGGAGCTTAGTCTTGGACTGAAAACCAGCAACAGCCAGTTGGTATTTGAGAGTGACTTGGGTGCCCTGAGAGGTTTGCCCAGGCCAAGCGAGCACTGCACAAATAATGCCATGCTCAGTAATGCCCATCCCTGAGAAAGCAAGACCACTCTGAAAGCAAGCTGCATCTCTGCTCCCTCTTGCTAACTACCTAAGCAGCTATTCAGTGCACATGAAACAGTAGATAACTCTTTATCTGACAGGTAATTAGCTGTAGAAAAAAAAAATCAAATTAAAAACAGAGACCATATTAATAACAATGCACAAGCACAAATTTGTCTGGAGATGCACAATGAATTACTTCAATTTACAAAAAAAAAACTGTTTTCTCTGCGAAT